CATATTCTCTGTCTGAGGCGATTTGAGACACATCCTAGCTAATTGCTAATGCTGTTTGGCGGGTTAGACTAGTACATATATACGCTTCATTCTCCTCAGATACCAGATCGCTGTCAAATGTGATATTAAGCAGATGACAGCGTGACTTAGACGATGCATATATATTACTGTGTCTCTGTTATATAGCTGACATAGATAGATATATGTATTTTATGGCAATGATAGTGGGTCGTCACTTTGACTTAAAAAAAAGATGTGAACAACTTATTATCTAATAATTATATCATTGGTCTCTGAGCACTTCGTTCTACTTTTGATAGTTGGAAGGAAAGATATGTTTTTAATTGTTTTCTTCAGGTAAATTTGGTTTTATTAATACGAAAATAGGTCATTTGTGTTAGTAGATTCTAAGGGGTATTATATATGACCATCACCATCGAAATTATATAAAGCTCATCTACAGGATCAGAATTGCAGGCCTTGACAAGTGGTCCTGAGTTTATAGAGTCTATAATAATACATTGTGTTGTTTAATTCTTTTGTCACAGTACTGTGTGATTGAATTCAAATACACTCGCATTGCTAAATTTTCATAATGTTATCTTCATGAATGATAGAAAGGGCTTCTGCTACTTGGAAGTATTGTTTAGGACTGAGATGATACTAATAGTTACATAATAAAACCCCAAGAATTTCAGGAGTTTCTCCACACTTGCGCTTCAATTGTTTTTTTGTTGTTCTGGTGAAGGAATAGGCACGCTATAAAGTAATGTCGTTATAAGCTTTCAGTATATCGTTACAAATTGTGTTCAATATATAGTGGCCGGAGATTTTTGTCGAGAAATTCTATCGCTAGACAGTGTATAGTGTATTCACGAGCGCTCTGTACTGATAAAGATGAGTGCAAGTGTGCGTGTACAATCAGGCTATGGCAGATGGTGTGTTGGCGTGAATTGCGTAGTGTACTATTTGTGGCGTCGTGTGTGCAAGATTCTTGCCGCTGCGCAGGTTGAGACTCATATTCTCCGTGTCCACAGATGGGGACTGTGACAGACGGTGTTTCTAGACTGAGTGTTGATCTGTGGAACGTGATGATTTTTTTAGCGCGTAGTTGCTCCGGTACAGATAGCGTCTGAGAATACTGGTTAAACACCGGCGTTGTCTCTGCAGACGTTATAAGGTCGCCTCGGCGGTGCTGATGGGTCTGATGACCAGCCCCACAACGCCATCTCGCGGACCTAGCGTACGCCGGGACTACGGGTTGGGAGCTCGACGTACGGGGCTTAGCACATAGGGTGGGTGACGTTTTGGCGCAGTGTAAATTGGGTTCTTAGAGTTCACAAACGGACAATTAGGATAGCTGTTCTGCGAGCGTGGCAACAGAAACGTCCGTCGGAAACATGTGAATCGGTGACTGTTAGCCTGTGTGACACCAGGGGCGGGTGATACTGGAAGGATAGTAATGGTTGTTGTCTTGTGTAAGTTGTTCAAGAACTGCGTATGAGTGTACTTAGATTCCTATTATACACAATTTGAAAAAGCTAGTGAATAGCGAGAAAACCAGAACTGTGAGTAACTCGCTTTGTATCATAGGTATACCCATACAAGTATATATACTCTCTCACTACTCACTCACTATATATATATACTTTATATACTATTATATATAGTACTATTTTATAGTTATAGCCTACGATGCTGTAAAAGATATGCGGATATAATTCGGAGTGGCGCATATGAAATATATACATATGGAAGCGGAAAGACAGAAAAAGGATATTGTCTGGGTATTTGGTTTGTTGTGTGGTTGGTGAGTATTTTATTAATGGATAGCATGGACGTCAGGAAGGGAAAAAATACTACTGCGGTTCGACTTTGCGTCGGCTTTTCTGTGCAATTTGAGCTCTATATGGGGTCTGCAAATAACGTGGGGAAGAATTAAGTGTAGGTGTAGTGTCGTTGGTACATAGAGAATTTTTTGAGAGATAAACTTGATGAATTGTTGCACATGTATATAATTGGTACTGTAGCGCAGAATCGAAATGAGAGAACTGTATATTCATTGTGATTTTTTTGTGATATATTATTATTGTATAGTGTAATTCCTCTCTCTATCTTTGACATAAAAAGTAATTGTATTAAAAATAGATGAAGCCTAGATATAAAATTTGTCTTTAACATATTTCACATAAATATATATATAATCTGTAAGGTATTATTTAAATGCTGATAATGCAATTTTTAAAAATTGCAAGTATAATTCCGTTACATATAATCATTATAGGATGGATAAATTTGCGGTATGAATTGGTTTGTATATGTCTAGAATGATGAAGTAATAGTATAGTACGTTGAACTTATAATGTACCTAGTTTTTATGCTGTATTATAAGGTAGAGCTAAGGTTTTTCGCACATTATTTTTTCTGCGACAGTAATCTTCATTAACATGTGTCAATTTAGATCAGATCGCTTGTGGCATTATTAGTTTGTACTCATTGCGGAATGAGTGAGGGATGTAATGTTTTGTAATATAGTGTGTAATTGCGTTTTTAGGCTGTTTATCTGTTGTGCTAATTTCATAAAGTTATTGACAAGACACTCAGCGTATTCTACTATACTCATTGATCGTTTTTTAGAGTATATTTTGAAAAAGTGCAGGCAAAGGACATTGTTATATGCAGTACTTATTATGATACGCGGACTGTCTTGCGCTCAGTGTAGGACAAAATGGTTTACAGATCTGTGATAGTTTACAGTTGGTAATCTGTATTGGTTGGATCGTTTGGATACTAATTAGTAGTGCAGGCTCTTTACATTACGTTGTGTGGTTCTCTCTCGGACTGTTAAGTAAGGATGTAGTTAAGGACGGCACAGATAAGTCTTATAATAAGTCAGAGAGATCGATAAGTATTATCCTTGTGAAGATTTAATTACTTCAATTAAATTGTAGAGCAACCAATGTATCAGAACATAGGGTTATATCAATTATGAGATAAGTATTCAGGATATAATATATTACGTTAATTTACTCTTTCAATCTTCAAAGGGTGGCAAAATATGTATCTGGATCACGAAACATCGAGTGACAGTCATACATTGTAGATGATATTACACTAAAATAGACAGACACGATTTAGAACACTCGTATATAGTGCGCATATATAGATGTTAGTTTATGAAGAGATGCATGAAACTGCTGCGGAATGCAGGATATGATACGTAATGCTGTCGCTATTCTGTATATAATCATATTCTGTAGAGTAAGAGGATAACAGAGTAGATCAATAAAAGTGATAGGTTATGTACTCGCGTTAGCAGCATATTGATATTCGCAGTTTGTTTAAATATGGTAGCAATGTGATGTGGATTGTGTTAGCGTAACTAATATCTCGAGATATTATAAGGATTTGAATAAAGTTCTTTATGAGTTGCGTTGCTGTGGACAACTTATACATCATTCTTGAATTTAAGCCTCTATCAGACTCACTAAAACTCTCGATACAATCTTGCTGATTGTGTCGGCGTCATACGGTGTGCTAATATGACTGTTAATAGTAATCGATACACAGAAGATGTGTCCGTTGTTTAAATTATAAGCACACGAGGTCATGGGAGTGTTTCTCTCGTTCTCTTAAGACTAATTGACTGATAGCTTCATATGGTTATAATTTTATATATATATATATATGGGTACATATATATATATATATAAAATTCTGAATTCTTAG